AGACGTCTTGCAGTTGTGCGTGTGGGTGAAGAGCCCAGACGTAATGTATCGAGGAGGGGGCCTTGCCAGTTTAGGGTCCCCTTGCCACCCGCGTCAAAAGAATTTGTTGTGCCAGACATGGAGTGGCAGTAAGGAGGTGATTATGAAGTAATGACAAACACTGGTGACAGATGCCCAGCTTGAGACATGGCCCACATGCGGCCGGGGATGAGCCCACCTGGGCCCGCAGGTGCTTCAGACAAGAGTCCACAGAAGTGACATGTAAGGGAATGGAAATGGAAGAGAAACAAAACACAAAGATGTCTAAAAATAAAAAGATGGGCATCCCTGGTGGCCTCGGCTGTAAGTCTCAGCGCTTAACCCCATGTGAGCACCTCTTTGGCCTGAGTTTGATGGGGGCAGAGGGTGACCCCCAGGGCACAGCAGACCTCTCCACCTCCCCGCTGCCCCCCTCCGTGGTGTGTTTAAGTGGATCTGCCTATTCTGCTCCCCATTCTGTCTCTGGGGAGCCCATCACCCCTGCTTCACATCTCTGGCCTGCACCCCAGTTCTTGTATACATGAATCGATAAACAAGGTAATAATATAATAATCTATGACCGTTACATTATGATTAATTGTCTAATACAATAAGAAGAAATAACTCATACATATATATGCTCCAAGTGATGCAGTACCGACATACACGAGGTCATTATTAAGAGCAGAAAGGAGAGAGATTGGCAACAGCAGAATAACACCAGGCTGTTTTAACACTACATTTACAGCTGTGGACTGGTTAATTGGGCAGGGTCCCGGGAAGCTGGGTGAGACAGGAGGGAGGCAAAAACCCAGTCAGGGTGAAGAATCATATTTTTTTTAAAGATTTATTTATTTATTTGTACAGAACTGGGGTACAGGCTAGAGATGCGGAGGGTGAGAGGCTTCACCAGAGACAGAGCGGGAAGCAGAACAGGCAGATCGACGAAGTACACTGCTGAGGGGAGCAGCGGGCGGGTCAGGAGAGGTCTGCCTCGCCATGTGGTCAACTCCGGGGCAGGCGGGGATAGAACTCATGCGGAAGTGGCTTTAGCTTCTTAGCGCAGTGCTTTAACCCACTGCGCCACCAGGGAGGGCCTGAAGAATCATATTTTGATGCAATGTTAGAATAACTGCAAAAGAAAATCACATGGGCTAGATTTCCACAATCACAGGTCAAGGCAGGATCAGCCTCCTGGTTTTCCTGTAGGCTGCGGCTCTGATACAGCTTGGCGTGCTGCTGCTGGTGGTCTTTTCTGAAAGGAAACATTAATGTCCAGTTCATCATGGATTCTGCGGCATGCATTTTTAAAAAGATTTTTTTATTTATGCGTATAAGACCTGGGGTGTAGGCCAGGGGTTCAGGGGTTGAGAGGATCTACCAGAGACAGTGTGGGGAGTAGAACAGGCAGATCGACTGAAATACACTGCTGAGGGGAGAAGTGGGGAGACAGGAGGGGTCTGCTGCGCCCTATAGGTCACTCCCTGGCCGGGGATCGAACTCCTGCTGCAGGGGCTCAGATAGCTTCAGAGTGCTGAGACTTGCACCACCTGTGAGGCCCTGGGCATGCATTTGATGTAAACTGTTGCATTAAATGCTGCTTATTTTGCCTGGGCTGGTAGTGATGGTTGCACCAACTTGAGACTATACAAAAACAGAACACAGTAAAAAGTAAATCTTAAGTGATTTCTGGCTCAATAAAAAATGGCAGGAAAGGGGCGCCCTCTGGTGGTGTGATGGGTTAAAGAACAGCACTATGAAGCCCTCCGCAGCCACTGCAGCTCTGTGGCCTGTACCCCGGTTCTCATATGCATAAAAAAATCTTTTTTAAAAATGCAGGGGAGGCCCTCCCTGGTGGCGCAGCAGGTTAAAGCACAGCACAGAGAATCTAAAGCCGCCTCTGCATGAGTTCGATTCCTGCCTGCCCCGGAGGTGACCACATGGCGTGGCAGACCTCTCCTGACCCGCCCGCTGCTCCCCTCAGCAGTGTACTTCATCCATCTGCCTGTTCTGTTCCCCACTCTGTCTCTGGTGAAGCCTCTCACCACCCGTGAGCCTCTGGCCTGTACCCCAGTTCTGTATGCACAAATAAATAAATCTTAAAAAAAAAAATGCAGGGGAAAATTTATCTTGATGACTGAGGTTTTTTGATGACCAAAAAAAATTGCACTGAAGGAATGAAGTGCTCTGTCACCCTAGTCCCCACCCTGCTCGGTGACAAAGTAGGACAGCAAAGATCAGGGTCCGGATCTCCCCTCTGCATCAGGCAGCTCGGTGGGCAGGCTGGGCTGTCAGGCTGGGCTGTCAGGCTTGCCGTCTCCGGCCCTCGGGGAAGACACCTCCCCTCTCTCAGCACCCGTTTTGCCTGGTGCCCTCCCCACTCTGACTTCCCTCTCACAATCCAGGGGGTTACCAAAAGCTCAGTCAAGATAACGTACTATTTAAAAAATAAAAATCAACACAGAAAAAAAAAATACATGATGAACAGAAGATCAAAATGAAGACAGTAACTCACTCTGCCCTGCAGGGTCCACCTCTCTGCCCCCCACCCCCGTCCTGACTCTGTCAGACCCATGTCAATAGTCATAAGATGACTAGTTTGTTCATCACGGGTGGGGTGCCTTCCCTAGATTTTAATAGTGATGGTTACAGACAGTTTCTAATGTATATAATGCCCCATGATAAAAGCAGGCTCCTCTGGACAGCCGTTTGTCGATTTGATTTTTAAAAATACTACATCTGGGGCTCTCCCTGGCGGCCCAACGGGCTAAAGCACAGCACTGTGAAGCTCTCAGAAGCCACTGCAGTGTGAGTTCGATCCCCCACCATGACACTGACTCACATGGTGCCACAGACCTCTCCTGACCCACCCACTGCTCCGCTTAGCAGTGCATTCAGTGGATCTGCCTGTTCTGCTCCCCACTCTGGCTCCAGTGAATCCTCTCACCCCCCACACCTCTCGCCGGTTCTCCAATTCTGTAAAGGTTTGGAGCCCTCTCTGTTACGCAACGGGCCAAAGGCAGCACTGAGAAGCTAACGCCACTGCAGCACGAGTTCGATACCTGCTTGCCCCAGAGGTGACCCACATGGCCGGCAGACCTCTCCTGACCCGCCCGCTGCTCCCCTCAGCAGTGGACTTCATCCGTCGGCCTGTTCTGCTCCCCGCTCTGTCTCTGGTGAATCCTCTCACCGCCACTGCACCTCTGGCCTGTGCCCCAGTTCTGTATGCATAAATAAGCAAATCTTTTTAAAAACTTTAAAATTTTTAATTCAAAAATAGATTAAAAATAAAATACTACATATGTAAAATTATTAGATACATTTGCGTAGGAAAATATTGTGTATATAAAACCCTGCACGTGTAACGCAGCGAAGACCGTTGTCCCTTCCGGAGCAGCTGGCGTACGGACACACTACGGCCACTAGGTGGCGCCGCCGCGCCTCGCAACGTCCGGACCTTTCGCGCCCGCCAGGTGGGCGGCGCGGAGGCGGCGCGATGCGTCAGCGGGCCCGCAGGATGGGAAGACGGGGAAGCGGGCCCGCGCGACCGAGGCCAGACCCCAGACTGGCGGGGGAGGGACACAGCTGTGAGTCACCCGGGAGCCCCCGATCGAGCGTGGGAGGCTGCCCACGCGGGGCTGCCCGCCTGGCTCGTGAACTGTCTTTCTGGGGAGACCTGAGCATGGCGGCAGTCCCTGCATGCTGCCATGCCTGGCTCACTCTTGTGGTTCCAACACGAATTAGCCAGAGCCTGGGGGGAGTGGTGGCCTCGCCGAGCCTCAGTTTCCCCTTTGCAGAAGGCAGATAACTGTAGCCCTGCTTCCCGGTCCCTGAGGATTAAATGAACCGAGATACAGAGAGCTCTGTTCACAGTCCTCGCCCGACACATAAACGACCACCCCGGGGGAGGAAGTAAAAGCGACCGCCTTTGCAAACGGAGCCTGGTGGCCTCTTGTGCAGCACCAGCCGGGAACCTAATCCCCTCTTGGTCTCCCAGGACTCGACTTCATTTTACCGTCCGGCGCGGTCATGCCAAGGAGCGCGAGGCGCCGGCAGGGGGCGCCAAGGGTCGAACCTGAGCCACGAGCCACCTGCGCCTCCCACACGCGCCCCACCCTGAAACTCGCGGGGGCTGGGGAGGGGGCGCCGGGTCTAGTTCTTAGGATGCCCAGAGCCTTCTAGCCCCTGATTTTGGAAATTCTGAGGTGGCCTACCGCGACCACCAGGTAATGTTTGTTGAGCATTCTGTGTGCTTTCTTTCACTTTCTGCTCTCTGCAGCACAACCAGGCCGGTGGGCATTGTCGCAGGACAGGTGCGGACACAGAGGCCGCCTTCGCCGCCTCCAGTTTGGGGGCCTGGAAGCGTCCTCCCTCGACGACCACGTTTATTGATCGCTGTGATCCCCTCGTTTATATAATCAATTGTATGCCCATAACCCAGTGAGACCTGAGTTGCGGTCCCTTAGGTAGAGGCTCAGAGGCTCAGAGAAGTGAAGTACCCGGGGCCTGGGGTCCCCGCGGCTGGGGAAACCACAGCACCCCCCACCACCCTGAGGGAGTCAAGCTGCCAACCCGGTCCCCGCATAGTGCAGGCTCCTGGAGAACCCAGGAAAGCGCAGACCGGGGATTGCAAGGGGATTCCAGGCCCCCCTCCCCGAAAGTCCGGGGCACTGCGCGCGCTGGAAATCCCGCGCGCGCCCCGAAACGCGGCGCCGCTGCCGGGAAATCAGGAGAAAAACTTCTGCTTTTTTTTCTTTTCCTGGCTCACGTTCCCCGCGGCGCCCTATCCCGGCTGCCGCGCCCACGTGGGGCGCCCGCGCGCGGGGCCCCGCCCCTGCCCACCCGCAGCCAATCGCAGCGCGGGCTTCTCTGTCCTCTGACTAACTGCCAATAGGAGAGCCCGCTGCCCCCGAGGCCCCGCCTCTGACAAGCTTATAAAAGACTGTGCCGGCTGTTCCCGGTTCAGATTGCAGAAGCCTCAGGCCGGAATCTACATCTTGGGAGCGCTGGATTATTCTCTCTTTGTGACTTGGTGACTTTCCGCCGTGGTTTCTGGGAAGGATTTCGCCGCTCTCCGAAGTTGTTGCGCGAGCACTCGGGCTTCGTGGGCAGGTTGTGGGCTCTTCGGCCTCGGATTTGGCGTTTTTCTCCCGTGAGACTGTCGTGGGACTGCTTTCCACTGTGGATTATAACTGCAACATGACGCTGGAAGAGGTCGTGGCGTGCGACAACGCGGCGCAGAAGTAAGTAGCCCGGGCTCCCTCGCCTGAAGTCGGACGGGGTGCGGTCGCCGGGTGACCAGCCGGCTAACCGCCTCTCCCTCCTCTGACCCCAGGATGCAGATGGTGAGCGCCGCGGTGGAAGAGCTGCTGGTGGCGGCGCAGCGCCAGGACCGCCTCACCGTGGGGGTGTACGAGTCGGCCAAGCTGATGAATGTGTGAGTCAGAACCCCCTCCCCAGACCGGGCGTGGGTGCGGACCCCCCTCCCCACCCCCCGACCGCTCAGCGCGCTCCCTCCTGCATCCTTCTCTTGCACGGGATTGGGACGACCGCAAGTATCCCCACTGTAGAGAGCGTCTGCTTATGTGGGAAGGGCTGGGGGGCGGCAGACCTCGGAGGCTGCTGCTTTTGCAAGGTTTTATCTCCTCCCCTCCCTAACACTTGAATGCTGGGCCCTCTCCCCATCCTCACCATCTGCAGGCACACCTGCGGTTTCCCTTTGCTTTTGCAAATTCCCCATGCATGGCCCCTCCCTCCCCGGTTCCCGGCTGAACCTCTCCTTCCTTGGGCCCCCTCAGGGACCCTGACAGCGTGGTCCTGTGCCTCCTGGCCATTGATGAGGAGGAGGAGGATGACATCGCCCTGCAAATCCACTTCACGCTCATCCAATCCTTTTGCTGTGACAACGACATCAACATTTTGCGAGTGTCGGGCATGCAACGCCTGGCACAGCTGCTGGGGGAGCCCGCCGAGACGCAGGGCAGCACCGAGGCCCGAGACCTGCACTGCCTCCTGGTCACGGTGAGCTAGGCTGGGCCCTGCCCCACCCCACCCCGGCACCCCGCCGTGTTTGTCAACAAAGTCAAGCTGGCCTGGCCTGCACCAGCTCAGCGCCCAGCCACGCTTGGCATGTCCCGCGGGCGGCCCGGCCAGGCCTCGTCACCCAACTATTTTGAGCTGGCCTGTTTTCCCCAAAGGGGCCCTGGGAGAGGGAGGCTCCCCGCCCACTCCTGGGGCTCCAGCTGAACCCCTTCTTTTCTGTCTCCCACAGAATCCTCACACAGATGCCTGGAAAAGCCATGGCTTGGTGGAGGTAGCCAGTTACTGTGAAGAAAGCCGGGGGAACAACCAGTGGGTCCCCTACATTGCCCTCCAGGAACGCTGAGGTCCTTCGAGCATCAGAATGTTGCGTTGCTGCCAAAATAGAAAATAAATACTTGACACCCTCCCCCCAACCCCCCCAAAACAACCCAACCCGTGAGCGAGACTACGGGGGCAGGATCATTGGAGATGAAGACCAGAAGAGGGGAGCGGTGGCCACCCCAGAGCCAAGCGCCTGGAGCAGCGCCAGTGTGGCCACGGAAGAGAAGAGGGGTCCCGGGGGTCCCGGCGCAGGAGAGGAGGCCCTGGAGCTCAGGCCTTGACGAGCAGAAACTGGAGTGGGGGGCTGCTGCCTTCCCTTGTGGAGCTCCTGGACGCCACACTGGGGCGGGGAGACTTGAATGCACTTCCTCACCTTTCTTGATACTGGAGCTGGCAGGACCGACGGAGCTGGCTGACCCGAGGGTCTGCACCCTCACCAGGACTATACTTTGGGACTCGGGAGCTGGGGCTGTGTTGCTCGGTGCCCAGCACTCCCAGTTTGCAAACTAAATAGACAATATTTTGTTACTTGCAGTTGTTACTTGAATCACTGAGAGAAGGGAAGCTTGCAGATACATATATTCTTACTTCTACTATGATGGCCTTGTAATAAATATCTAAAGTTTCTGGGTTTTCGTGTATTTGCTACTTCTGAAGAGGTCCCAGACTCCTGGCACCCCCTCTCCACTCCAGCAGCGCGCCTCCACACCCCCCAACACTCTCCTGCCGCCCTCACCCTCTGCAGGCTCACCAGGAAGTGTTACTTAAGTCCCTGTTAGCAGCTCCAGGCTCCTTTGCAAAAACAGTGCCTCTTCTCTCTGCAGCTGGCGCCACCCAAGTCTTTGCCTCTTTTTTCCCCTTCTCCCTCCTCCTGCCTGTAGCAATTAAAAGACCGGTTTATTACGAAACCTGGCTGCCTTGCCGCTGCTGTTACAGGCTGTGCTGGAGCCAACCTGAGCTCTGGGCACACTAGGACCCACCCCGCGGAGCGGGCTGTTCCCACCCGGCCACCTCTGCAGCCCAAGACCCAGAGGTCAAGGGGACTCCTGTGGCTGCCCATGAGGTGGGCTCAGAACTCCTGGGGGGACCGGGGCCTTGCAGGAAGAGCTCCCTGGGGAGGATCTTCCCTCTCCAGCAAGCGGGGTGAAGGGGGGGTCCTTCTACCAAGGTAGGGTTCTTTACTGCACTAAAGAAAAAAGTTTTGTTTCTTTCCCCAAGCTTAAAAACAAGCAGAGAAATGCCCCAGGAAGTGAGCCTCCTAGCCAGCTGGGCTTGGCACAAGCCTTCTGCTAAACCGAAACTGTAAGGTCGGCCAGCCTCCTCGTTCTCCGGAGCTGAAGTTGCAGGAGCCGCCTCCTGCCAGGGGCTGGGAGCTGGAGCCCAGCCAGCCTCAGTGCTGCAGCCCGGCCTGCAGAGTGGGCTTTTCCCCTCTGCTGCAGCCCCCCGCCTAGGAATTGGGGGCCGGGCCGGCCAGGGGCAGGCCGTCAGGGACCGGCCCGGCCACAGGCCACAACCTTTCCACAGAGCCCCAGACCGTTCCACGGAGCCCCACGTGGGCGTGTCAGGAAAACCCCTGCGGCCCCCCTGGAGTCATGGGACTGGGGAGCCCCAGTGGGGGAGAGAGGGGCAGAGTGGGAAGGGGAAGTCCCTGAGGGAGAGGTGTGGTGGGGTTAAGAACACCTCTGGGGCTGGGAGCGGGGATAGCCTGAGAGGGGAACCCCCAGGAAAAGGACAGCCACAGGCTGAGAGGGGGTGGGGGAACCTGAGGAGGGAAAAGAGGGTGGGGCCTTTTGAAGTCTTCCCTGAGAGGCCAGGAGAAGATTGTGAGTGAAAACACCAGAGCTCCAGGATATTGGGGAAAACAGAGGATATTGGAGGGATCCAGGATATTGGAGGGGTGACCGTGGAAGGGATCCTTGTGGGAGGGGGAGCGATGAGAGGTGGGTGGGGCTACCCTAGAGGAAGAGAGAGATGGGGGAGCTCAGCGGGGATGGGCAGGGGTCCCTGATGGGGTTGGCAGCTAGGAGAATGGCTCCCCAAGGCAGATGAAGGGGACCGGGAGTACTGGGGGGGGCTGAGGGGCCATCACACCGCAATGGAGGTCTCAGTGGGGCACAACTAAACAGGGACAGGGTCACCCCAGCCAGGCCTAGCGTCTGGCCACACCCATAGGTTCTAGCCTCAGGATCACTCCTCCTGGGCGGGCTGTCCCCATCGTGACCCTGGTCAGCCAGAAGGACTGTGACCTCTGACCTTTTATCCCTAGGTCCTTTGCCTAACACAGACAAGACCCCAGGCCCCTGGGCCCATGGGTGGGTCCACAGCCGTGTGACCTTCAGCTAGTACCTTCATGGCTCTGTGCCTCAGTTTACCCTTCTAGAAATAGGGATTATAATTCCACTTCACAGATTGTTGAGGAGGTTCAGTGACATCAGTGCTCCTTAGATTATACCTACAAAGCAGGAGTAGGCATTATCACTGCAAGAATGATGGTGGCCGGGACAAGTGTCAGCACTATTATTACGGCCCATACATTAGCTGGAACCATCTCTAATCCTCACTGGCCCTCCTTGCCGTGAGTCAGCAGAGCTGAAAAGGGTACGGGGAGTGGTGATGGGCCTCCCATGCAGAATTGAAGAGTGGCGCCCACCAACTCAGTCGGTCAGTTGAAGAATAGTTTGAGCAGATTTTTCAGACTTGACTGCAGAGAGGAGAACGAGAACTCCCAGTGAGCACCCACGGTTCCTATGGCTGATCTGCCAGGCTTCCCCTTCGCCTCAGGCTCCAACACTCTCAGCCGGTTTCGCCTTGAGTTAGTTTTGATATTTTGTTCATCCACTTTGCAGGGAAACAGCCCAGAGCTCAGAGGGGCCCTTCCCAGGCCAAGAGCCAAACCCCAGGCTTCCGGCTCCGGCCCCCAGCTTTGCCCCTCGTCACCCAAGCGAATGTGGAGGGTTGTGGCTGTTAGGTGCCAACAGTAATTCTGCTATGACTGTTGTTATAATAATAATTACTATTGTTGCCATTCTCGCTACCATGATAGTGGTCACTGCCATTCAGTAAAATACTGAGGACTTTTCTGATGGAACCCAAGTGTCTTCAGGAATCGATTTCAGGTGTTGCTGTTTTGCTTTGTTGTTGACAACAGCTGGGCTCAGGCAACGCTGGTGCAGTAAAACCTGCCACGTGATTCTAACCTGGGAACATGATGCCGCTACCCCATTTTCCAGAAGAGAATTCTGAGGTCCAGCTCGGAGGAGCCGCTGCCTGGGCAAGAGTCTTGACTTGAGGGTGGCTGTTGGTCAGTCCCTGGGAGCAACCCACGCTCGGGGAAAGGACGGGCAGGTTGCACACCCAGAACAGGGGGTACATCACCCCCACCCACCCCTAGTCGCCAAGACCCTGGGCTCCCACTGAGCGGGCGGCTGGGTGCCAGGCGACACTTGGAAACATCAGCGGGAGGGCGCGGGCAGTTTTCCAGCCGGGCATGGGGTGGGGGCGGGGTGCATGTCTCTCCTGGGGCACCGATGCCTACCTCTAGCTGTGACATCATGCGCGCAACACACAGCCCCTTGCACGCTGATGCGCACACCCCGGGTGCACCCACAGCTCCTCGGTGCCCCCAGAGGCTGCCACCCACTCCGTCCCCCAGTGGCCGAGGGCTCAGTTCCAGCGTCACCCACCCCCAGGCAGGTCACCTGACCTCTTCCACGTCTGCTGCGGAGACACAGCCTCCACGTGGGGCGACGCTGGTGCATACATGCATGTGCACACCCCGACACAAGCGTGAGCTCACAGGCACGTGCACGCTTGTGCTCCACCCCTGGGCTGTTTGCAGGCTTCCAGCTGTCCCCCTGCCCCTCCTCTCCCTGAGAACGGGGTGGGGGGGCCTTGTGAGTGGGTCACAAAGCGCAGGACCAGCCTCGGTCTAGGGGCCAGGCAGGGGTTTGGTGGTGAGACAGCTGAAATACCACAGTCACCTGGGCTGGAGCGAGGGACATGCACTGCAGCAGCTGACGTTGCCTCGGCCAGCTGTGTTCTCTCGACATGCTCACAAGGACTCCACAAGGTCGATACTGTTACTCTGCTTTTTACAGAGAGGGAATTTAAGCGTCCCAGAGTGCAGTGAATTGCCCCAGGTCACATGGCGGCACGGTGGCAGTCAGGGCCGTCAGACACGTGTGGACAGGCCAGGGCCACGCCAGGGTCTGTGGGATCGTCAGACACGTGTGGACAGGCCAGGGCCACGCCAGGGTCTGTGGGATCGTCAGACACGTGTGGATAGGCGCGCACAGCAGTCAGAGATCAGGTACCATAAAATTTTTCCTTTGCAAGTATAACTTGGTTGGCTTCAGTACGTCCCCGAAACCCTGCAACCCACGCCACTGTCTAGTTCCAGAACATTTCCAGCACCTCTGAAGGAAACGCACCCCCTTAGCAACCAGTCCCCCCTTCCTCCGGGAAGCTGCCCATCTAACGTCCCCCTGTCCGAATTTGCCAGCTGTGGACCTGAGGCACCTGGCCGTCCACCCTCCCTTGAGGACGAGGACGGGGCCACAGGGCGCGCCTGTTCAGTGCCCGGCAGCGCTCACCTGCCCCTCTAAGCTGCGACTTGCCTCACACCAGCCCCTCCGCCTACCTTCTCGTTCGCTGGCATCGAGAGCCCCCTCCTCTGGGAAGCCCTCCAGGCCCCCCCCAGCCTGTCTCCTCCCACTCCCTTCGGGCGCCTGTCCCGCCGTGGGGACACATGTGATATTGCCTTGTCATTTGTCCGTCTGCCCGGCCAGGTTGCAGACTCTGACGGACCAGAGAGGCCTGCTGTCTCACCCCTGCCTCAGTGGCTGCCTTCAGGGCTGGGGCCCAGGTGGGACTGCGTAAACGCCCAGGGGTGTGAAGGCCAGGCCGGAACCCGGGTCTTGACAAGCGGAGACTGACCCATTCGTGAACCCCCTCTCTGGGACAGACTGTTTGTCCCTAAGGAGCACAGGCCGGCTGCCAAGTGTTGGGCCCCAGCCAGGTGCGGGGACGCCACCCAGGCAGGGAAGCTGGAAGCTGGCCTGGGAGGTGGATGGTCTGGCGCCCGAGGGCAGGTTGCTTCACCTCTGGGGCTCAGTTTCCTCATCAGCACAATGGAGGCACTAACAGGAAGGCCCCTCTCGGCTGCTGGAGCACTAGTGAAACTATGCAGAGCACTCAGAACCGTGGACAGAGTTCCCTGTGCCAGCCCCTCCAGAACTGGCGGGAGGGGCTTGCGGTCTGTGCCAGCGCCCTGGGCGGAGCCCCAAGCCAGCCCACTCACCAGGCTGCCTGGTGGAGGCTGTTGGGACGGCCAGCAGCGGGGGGTCGTCGACTGAAACGTGGGGGGCCAGCGGCTGCCACTCTGAGTCGGCAGGGCGTGGATTCCGCCCCCCCAGCACTGCCTGCCGCCGGAGGTCCCGCTGACTCTGCGCACTGTTGGGGCTCACGGGCACGGGTGCTGGGCCGTCAGGGAGCCTGGGCGCCCAGATATCCTGATTGTGCTCCTCCTACCACCCCGCCTCGGGGACACTGATTCTGCCACACAGCTCTGCTTCTTCCCAGAAAGTGGGGTTAAGGAGTGGGCTAGGCCCTCCTTGGTGGCGCAGTGG